ATTACTTGAAATACTACTTAGGGGGTTATTACAAGTCTCTATGGCTAGCCAATAGTTCAAACACACCTAAATGAGAGGTTAAAATGAAAGAAAGCTAATTTTGAAGGAAGGCGATTTTTCATTTTTGAACAGCTGCACTCTATTACTTTAATGAGTGATAACTACAATAAAGCTACCAGTTACCAAGGTCTATCATATAAAAACTTATTGTAGGGATGTATAGCAATAAAAAAATCACAACTATAATTTGCCCACCCAGGTGGTACCGATATGTGAAATTTTGGTTCTTGGCTCAAGTGCTATGATACCTGAAAGAACTGCTCCACCATCAAATTGGGCCACACCCACTTCATCAACTCATTTAATTAGACACAGGTTTGATTCATTTATAGAAAAGAGCAGTGTGACCCAAAAAGAGTATGACTTTTAATGTGCTTTTGACTTTCTGTGTTGCTTTTGGAGTTAACAAAAATTCGCCTATTGAGGAAATAACAAAATGAGAAAAAATATAAAAAGCTACCCCTATGAAAAGTCTATCATATTTTAATTTACTTATATTGACCCTAAAAACAATTTAGTATATGTAAGGTTTTGCCCACCCAAGTGGTACCGACATCTGGTCCGGCTCAAGGACTAAGTTGGCTGACGTAGTAACTCTGCAAGGAATGTGCTGCTCTTTAGTGGACACTTTATCTCTAGGAGCTGTGTTGAGTCCAAAATTGGGATTTGGGATTGCTCAAAACTAGAGATGGTCAGGACACACCACCAAGCCTCTCCGCCCCACAGTGTGCCCTTTAGCCTCCGTGAGCTGTATGGCTATGTCCTCATTTTCTTTACCATATTTATAGGCTGTATTGGGACAGAAGAAAAAGTGCTTAGAAAGTGAATCTCGTTCCACTTCAGTGGGGCAACATAAACTGTGTTTCATAAAAAAGCTCTATTGATAGTAAGTACTAAAAAAAAAATCTACTCATGACATCCTGTCGATTTTTAGTAATCAGTGTTTCGGTGTTGAACTATTTCCTTTCCGCGGCGTAGTGATACTTGCACATGCGCAATCGAATATGCAGAGGGGTGAAGCGATTTTTGTCACGTGGACCAATAGGAGCTGAGCCAAAGTATTAGAAATACACAAACATGGCGACGAGCGCATCGAGCAGCGAGACAAGCGAAGAGGAAGAAAAGAAAAGGAAAAAAAGAAATCAGCCTTCAAAAGTGTATAAAAAAGGAACAAAACGATGCTATATGCATCTATCATCTGTCCTGAGTGAAGACGTTCTCGACTTTACAGGGACACGTTGGGAAACTTACAGAACTAGTATTAGAAAGTGGCTTTCTCTACAGGGTGAGACAAAGGACCTTGTAGAAACTTATAAACATTGCGTTGATACCGACTTTGACAGTGTTCCTGATGATGCTGGGTTTCACATGACATGCTACCAGTGATTTATTTGCAAAAGGTGTTTAAGAAACAAGAACGTGAGGCAGCCGCGGGTCAGTCAAACCCATAGACTGTATATACTATGGACAACCTGGTTCCGCCTTCCGTCTGTATATGGATTTGAAGCCAAAAAGCTCTCCCTCTCTCGAGAGAGAATTACTCTCTCGGTAATTCCGGGTGTTTCTTCACTTCCTTGAAACCAGAGCTGCGCAGTAGCGATGCGCGCATTCGGCCGTGCAGTCGCCGAGAGTCCCTGTGATGACGCTCGGCTCAAACAGCGTATTCCCCCGGGTGAGCTACGCAATCCCTGAACGCCCATAGCCTGTACCAGGTGTCAATCATAGAAAACACCACCATCAGAGGGTGCTGTTCTCGGAGTGGCTTCACCCAGCGAGGAGGCAGACTCTGTCCATTCTTTATACAGTCTATGGTCAAACCCTTCAGGCAGCATCGCCGATGCATCCACGTCCACGGCATCTGAAACTCCGCGAAAGAAACTTTGCTCGAGGTCATAGGCTGTATTGGGACAAAGGAAAAAGTGCCTAGAAAGTGAATTTCGTTCAACTACGCTGGTGCTACTTGTTCAATGCATTTTTGCATAGACAACACCATTCTGGACTTTGGGTTAAAATATCTACGCAGACTATCTGTCAGACTTTTGTCACCAGCCAGAAATGTACATATATGTAAGTAACCCAAAAAACAATTATATGGTGCAGCTGTTTTTGCTTGTAGAAACTGCTATGTTGATTCTGGCAAGACAAAATCTTTCTCAAATGTCATAAATACATCTACCTAACACCTGAAACAGTTATTGGTGCCTTAGTATACGCATAAGTGAATTCAGATTATGAAATGTAGCAAATTTCTTGATGAAAACGTCTCAACCTAAGTGATTTGCACCCGGCACAATGAAATATATACAGTAAATTTAGCTAAAAGCTTATGTTTCATACATAAAAATGACACAATCTACTGTGTAACCAACACGATCTCGCTCAGCTAATACAGCCTATTAGTGGCAGTATTGCCAGTGAAGGTTGGGTGCAAGTGTTCATTGAGGAATTTCTGTGGGTTAGTCGTGCTCTGTTTAGGCACTTTCTTTGCTGTGCTCGCTGTCAGTCGCAGCTTCCTTGCACTCTGTACTTGGGTCTCTTCGCTCAACTTCTCCATCTGACATGGGCTTAGTTTGACATAGGTTTCATAAAAACTGAGACACTTCCTGCAAGTCAACATTATGCTGTGCTCTGTATGGGGCATCTGTACATCACACTGGCTCTGAGAGGACTCACTATGTACATCTAATCTGTAGCACTGTTGAAGGGGGCAATTAGTCTGCAGCTGATAGAGTGGGGCCATCACAGAAGAACTTATGTAAACTTTAAATTCTTTGTGATCCTTGAAATAGTCCAGTTGGAAGGAGGGGGTTCAGTGCACCCCCCCGGAGATATATTTCTAATCAGTGTTTTTCTATAGGAAAAAATGTGCTGAAAATGATGAGCTATGATAAAAAGTTCTCAGAATGTCCCATCTGCCCCAAAACCCCCCAAAACCCACTTTTTGGTACATGGCTCTAGCGAAATTGTGTTAAGGCAAATATTAATTCACTAAAATTACATAATTGGACATGAAAGTCTAAAAAATGGCATGGGGTATCCTGAGACATAGGGTTAAGTAGCCCAATAGGATTTTAGGACCTGCTACAACTGTATTCATAAATATGACCAACATCATCCCCAGAAACACAAAAAAATATACTGTCCGCTTGCCAAATAATAACAAAGATGATTGATTTCCAGCACTTTATGGTAAATATCTGTTAGAATAATGTGCATAAATGTATATAGAAGTTATCATTATTCCTCATATTCTTATGTAAGAGTTTATACTACAAGTATAAACTGCTTTGACATCTTTTTATCCATTATATAAGAGTATTTTTATCATATAAGAGTGTTTCCTAACTTCTCTCTCCAATAGCTTTACTACACAGACATCAAAGTTTCTTTCAGTTTTCTTTCACCGTGTTTTTCCTATCAGCAGGTGTGGGTGTGGGGGTGACGTATCCTCCGCTGATGAATCGTGGCAAGGTTCTGGGGAGGATACACGCTTATCAGAAGGAGCTCGTTAGATGCCGCCTTGACCTTCAGCTATTCACAAATTGTTCATTATTATATTCTATGAAATGCTTATGTAGTGCCCTAGTAATTTGAGTTCATTCTTAAATTTGTTCATTTCTGTGATAGCTCTTATTTTCTTGTTGATTAAGTAAGATATCACCTCATAATCTCAGGAATATAAATGTTTTGGTTAAAGTTTTCAAATATCCCGCAGTTAAGGCAGACCTTGAACGCCTCATGTCCGGTTGTCTCTGTGTTGCATGATTGACAGGTGTCACGAGCGTATCGCCAATCATTGTTAAGTTGGGGTGAGAAAAGGGACCTGTCAGTTTTGGGAAGGCGGGGTTTTCGTCTGGGTGAGAGAGAGCAGTGATTGACGGAGTGAAAAAATGCTGACCAGAGATGCAGAGAGAAGGCTAGATAATAGTGTGAAAGTTGTTCTTTCGTTGTTAAGCGTTAAATAAAGACCCAACGGGATTGAGGCTCGGTGTGTTGGACGGGGCGGGAGTGTGTGTTTGTTGCGAGACGAGCGGGTGAGTGTTGTTGATAGATTCGGCAAAGTTCGTAAATGTGCTATATGCTAAATTGTTAGCTAACTAGTATTGACGTGCAGGAGCAGAGGAAGACTGGAGTCAGGATACATGTGCGAGGTCGGGTGTTAATTTCAAGTTCCTGAGTGAGTATCAGACTCCTTATTGTTACCACAGGCACATTGTGAGTAAGTACGTGTATGTGAAGGTTTGTTTTTTTGTGCTGTCAGTGTGCTTCGGATACTGGCCACTCGTGCTGCGACAGTAGAAGTGCTCCGGACTTCCCGCGCCAGGGACTTCGGCACGCGGACCGACTCTCTCCTTCTTCAGGCTCTGTACTTCCATGATGGTTATAACAACACACTAAAATAACAAGGGACCGTGAGTACAAACGACTTGGAAATCGCACCTACACAAGAGCTCCAACAGCGCGCCAACGTACGTGGTACCACAGACTGATTTATAAAATCCCGGGTATTAAGAGTTATTATTTTTTTTCTCGTTTATATGTTTATTCTGTGAATAAATGTGAACATTGGAGCATTTAAACATGTGTAGTTCATATTGATTGATGTTGTGCACATTTGGGGCTATCTAAAGACATGCATGGGAGTTAACACTCACACAGACACATCACACAATTCCCTGGTTTATATTTCGTAGCATCACCAATTCCTCTCCCATGCAAAATACTGTGTGTATGATCCAGTAGGTAATATTCTTTAGAAAAATAGGAATTGAGCGAGGGGGCTACACGTGGGGGCTCGTCCGGGATTCTGTGTGTGTACTGTGATTGTGTGAGTAATGCAATATATATATATTTTTTTTTTCTTTTATGATAGCCTTGTTTCCTATGGTGTGTAACTAAAAAAAAAAAAAAAAAAAAAAAAGGTGAGCAGTTCAGGCATAATGGAATCTGAAGAGATAGTCAAATGGTGCAAAGACAAAGGTATTGATGTGAAGAGAGCCATTGTGCTCAGTGAGGTTTCTTTTGAGACTCCTGATGATGCCATTTGTAAGGCGCTTGATGACGCCAAAATATTTGGTCACTGCAAGGTGCGAGGACGGTGTTCTGCGCACACTGGTAAAAGCCAAACAGTTTTAGTGGAAACCACGACTGACATGACTGCTGCGCAGTTGCCTGAACAGATAGTAGCTGGGGATGAATGGGGTTCATGGGTGGTAAATGTCAGTGAGACACAAAGTTTCAATCCAACAGCTGGAAAGGGAGGTTTTCAGTCCAAGCTACTGTCATTCCTAGCCAGTGAAGGGAAGACTTTAGAAGATGTGACAGGCTTGCTTAGCCCTAGTCCTGCCCCACGTGTCACTCCAGAACTGAACACTGATCTGAGCAAATTGAGGGCATTTACGCCAAAGCTTTACTTGATAGCGGGTCCCAAGTTACCCTCCTGTATCGCTCCTTTTATGACAAGTATCTCAAACACATGCCTTTGATCCCTATTGAGCGCCTAGAGATTTGGGGCCTCAGTTTGGACCGATATCCATATGATGGTTATATGTGCTTGAAACTTGAGTTTGGTGGAGATGTCGTTGGAGTAGCTGAGACCATAGAAACACTTGTGCTTGTGTGTCCAGATCCGGCCATGAAGGGTGAGATTTCCATTGTCGTAGGCACCAATACCTCCATAGTCAGAAGTCTATTCCATTCTTGTAAAACACACAATGGGGACAGTTTCTTAAGTACCCTCTCTGTTCACCCAGTAATAAAAGAAGCTTATGAGAAGTTTCAGAAAACTCCTGATGACACAGCTGAGACAAAAAAAGGAACAGTTTGGTTCACTCGAGACAAGCCTTTTATTCTGCCACCAGGGGGAGTTGCAAAAGTTGTTGGCATTCCAAAGTTTCCCGGCAATCTTCTTGGTCAAGCTGTTCTCATAGACCGCCCAGAGCAGGGTTATTTTCCCGAAGAACTTCTGGTGATGCCTGTGGTTGAACAATCACATGCTGTCCATTGCCGTCACATTACAGTCACTCCAAGAAATGTGTCAAATCATTGTGTGACATTAAAACGTGGCATGCCCATTGCTCACCTGTATCCAGTGGATGTGATAAATACGGTCCTGGAAAAGGAGGAGTCTAAACTGCCTACATCTGAACTATCTCCCTCGTCTTTTGATTTTGGAGATTCACCTGTGCCCCCGGAGTGGAAGGAGAGACTATGTCAGGAGATGATGGAGCGAAAAGAGGTTTTCTCCTGCAGTGAATTTGATGTTGGATGTGCAAAAAGCACTCAGCACAACATTCGAGTGACAGATGACAAACCATTTAGAGAACGCTCCAGACGGTTACCTCCTAAAGATTTAGAAGATGTAAGAGAGCATTTGACTCATCTCAAGGAAGCTGGGATCATTTCAGAATCCAGGAGCCCCTATGCTTCCCCTATTGTTGTGGTTCGCAAGAAAAATGGAACCATACGCATGTGTGTGGACTACAGAACGTTGAATAGGAGGACTATTCCTGACCAATACACAGTCCCTCGTGTGGAAGATGCTCTGACCTGTTTGAGTGGTAGCAAGTGGTTCAGTGTGCTTGATCTCCGAAGCGGCTACTATCAGATCCCCTTAAGTGCCGCTGACAAAGAAAAAACAGCATTTACTTGTCCAGCAGGATTCTATCAATTTGAGCGGATGCCACAAGGCATTTGTGGAGCACCTGCCACATTCCAACGTGTTATGGAGCGGACAGTTGGTGATATGAACCTACTGGAAGTGTTAGTGTACCTTGACGATGTAATCGTCTTTGGGAGAACATTAGAGGAACATGAACAGCGCCTTCTTAAAGTGCTTGACAGATTAAAGGAAGAAGGACTTAAGTTGTCTTTGGACAAATGTCGATTCTGCTGCCCCTCTGTAACGTACCTTGGTCATGTTGTATCCAGCAACGGCATTGCTACCGACCCTTCAAAGATTGAAGCCGTAAAGTCATGGCCACGCCCAACAAACATCACAGCTCTTCGCTCTTTCCTTGGCTTCTGTGGCTATTACAGACGGTTCGTGAAAGATTTTTCCAGAGTCTGTCATCCACTCAACCACTTACTGCAAGGCTGCATAGTGGCTGGGAGGCCTGAAAAAAAGGCAAAGTTCCAAAAGGACATCAAAGATGAGAGGAACTCAAAATCAGATGAGGAAAGAAAAGCATGGTATCATCCCTCAGAGCCATTCGGAGCGAGGTGGGACGAAAACTGTGAGAAAGCTTTTGAGACCTTAAAGCAAAGGCTCACAGAGGCACCTGTCTTAGCTATCGCCAACCCAAAACTTCCTTATGTCCTGCATGTTGACGCGAGTCGAGAGGGTTTAGGAGGTGTCCTTTATCAAGATCAAGGAGAGGGTTTGTGCCCTGTTGCTTTCGTTAGTCGAAGCCTCTCCCCTTCAGAGAAAAATTATCCCACGCACAAGCTGGAATTTTTAGCTTTGAAATGGGCTGTCACTAACAAGCTGCATGATTACCTCTATGGAGTCAAGTTTGAGGTTCATACTGATAACAATCCTTTAACGTATGTCTTAACGACAGCTAAACTGGATGCAGCAGGACATAGATGGTTGGCAGAGCTGTCCACCTATGATTTCAGCTTGAAGTATCGCCCTGGGAAACAGAACATCGATGCAGATGCATTGTCGAGGCGCCCTCATGATAAAAAGGATGATACTCATGAGGAAGAGAAATCCATGCTTGCACCCACTGTCCAAGCTATCTGTCATATGTCGTCCATCAGACCCACTCACCGCCGCTGCTGTAGAGCTGTTGACATCCTGGGCTCATCCAAGTATGCTTTACCCAGAGCCTATTGTAACTTGTCTTCCTTGAGCACCCAGCCATTGCCAAAATTGTCCTCGGCAGACATTTCACATGCTCAGCAGAACGATCCATGTATTGGAGAAGTGTGGCATGCTGTTGTTCAGAATCTCACCAACCGCGCTGACAAGGGAAAACATCCAGATGTGCCCTTGCTACTAAAAGAGTGGGAAAAATTGAAAGTCAAAGACTCTGTATTGTAAAGGATGAGTAAACCACCCAATAAACCAGGCTGCCTATCAGTTGGCTGAGAGCATGGCGGACAAGAAAAATGAAACAAACAAGAAATGCTATGATCGGAGAGTTCGTTTCTGTCCAATCGGGTCTGGTGACAGGGTTTTGATCCGAAACCTCGGGCTACGAGGGAAACATAAGCTTGCTGACCGCTGGACAGCCACTCCATATGTTGTTGAGAGTCAACTGCCTGGTTTACCTGTTTTTAAGTTGAGGCCAGAAAATGGACAGGGCCCTGATAAAATGTTGCACCGAAATCACATTCTGCCTATTGGATCGGAGGTACAGCTGAGATCTGAAAAGACCACAGATCCACCCAAACCTAAGAGACGAGTCAGCAAAAGACTCAAAGCAGAGGGGACTGAAAACTGTGACCTGCCTTGTTTCCCAGCCTCTAAACATGATGACAAGATTGAGTCTGCATCTGACTCGGAAGATGATGAAATGGGGGTATGGTATGACTATCAAGCTCAACCAGCACCGGAGTCAAAGGAACCAGAACCTAATCATGACCAGTCACAACCTTTCAGTCTGGATTTAGATCTTGCAGTCCCTATAGATAAAAACACAGAGATTGTGGTAGCCACAGCTCAGGAACCTATCATAGCTGATGAGGACGAACTATTGGTCCAAGATGAGACAGCCGAAGGGGCTGTTGAGGCTGAAAGAGGCACTGAGACACAGACTACAGACAAAACTATTGAGAGACGAGACAGGGTATCAGAGAGCCCAGACGAGACGAGACGACCTCAGAGACTAAGACGGGTACCTACTAGACTGACCTATGACTTGCTGGGAAGCCCAACGTCTGTAGTAGTTAGTATACCCATTGCCACCTTAGTAAAGGCTGATGACAAAAAGAATGATTTCTCCTTATCTCCTGTTAAAATTTTCAAAAGCACTGTTTACAAGTGGATAGGTTAGGAAAAAACAGTTATCCTGTTCACAACGAATGTTGGAGAAAAGCTGAGGAGGGTCATTTTGTTTTACATGTCATGAGGGCATGACCTTGTTTGGTTGGGGAAGAGTGTAGTGCCCTAGTAATTTGAGTTCATTCTTAAAGTTGTTCATTTCTGTGATAGCTCTTATTTTCTTGTTGATTAAGTAAGATATCACCTCATAATCTCAGGAATATAAATGTTTTGGTTAAAGTTTTCAAATATCCCGCAGTTAAGGCAGACCTTGAACGCCTCATGTCCGGTTGTCTCTGTGTTGCATGATTGACAGGTGTCACGAGCGTATCGCCAATCATTGTTAAGTTGGGGTGAGAAAAGGGACCTGTCAGTTTTGGGAAGGCGGGGTTTTCGTCTGGGTGAGAGAGAGCAGTGATTGACGGAGTGAAAAAATGCTGACCAGAGATGCAGAGAGAAGGCTAGATAATAGTGTGAAAGTTGTTCTTTCGTTGTTAAGCGTTAAATAAAGACCCAACGGGATTGAGGCTCGGTGTGTTGGACGGGGCGGGAGTGTGTGTTTGTTGCGAGACGAGCGGGTGAGTGTTGTTGATAGATTCGGCAAAGTTCGTAAATGTGCTATATGCTAAATTGTTAGCTAACTAGTATCGACGTGCAGGAGCAGAGGAAGACTGGAGTCAGGATACATGTGCGAGGTCGGGTGTTAATTTCAAGTTCCTGAGTGAGTATCAGACTCCTTATTGTTACCACAGGCACATTGTGAGTGAGTACGTGTATGTGAAGGTTTGTTTTTTTGTGCTGTCAGTGTGCTTCGGATACTGGCCACTCGTGCTGCGACAGTAGAAGTGCTCCGGACTTCCCGCGCCAGGGACTTCGGCACGCGGACCGACTCTCTCCTTCTTCAGGCTCTGTACTTCCATGATGGTTATAACAACACACTAAAATAACAAGGGACCGTGAGTACAAACGACTTGGAAATCGCACCTACACAAGAGCTCCAACAGCGCGCCAACGTACGTGGTACCACAGACTGATTTATAAAATCCCGGGTATTAAGAGTTATTATTTTTTTTCTCGTTTATATGTTTATTCTGTGAATAAATGTGAACATTGGAGCATTTAAACATGTGTAGTTCATATTGATTGATGTTGTGCACATTTGGGGCTATCTAAAGACATGCATGGGAGTTAACACTCACACAGACACATCACACAATTCCCTGGTTTATATTTCGTAGCATCACCAATTCCTCTCCCATGCAAAATACTGTGTGTATGATCCAGTAGGTAATATTCTTTAGAAAAATAGGAATTGAGCGAGGGGGCTACACTTACTTTGCAGCACATTTACCCCCACCCTTTTAGAAACATTGTGTAACCAGGGACAACCCTAAATAAAAGAGGCGGACAGAGAAAGTATCCTTAGAGTGGTACTGAGATAGCTAAAACAGATCTCTGTCCATTTCTCAAACATAATCCATTGTCTTTCTCCTTTTATTTCAGGTATTTGCAGGTTTTAAACCTAACAATATCACTGCCTCATTTGTATATATAAACTTCCCATGTCCCTAAGCTTCAATTTGAGCCCAAGATGACCTTTCTGGCTTGAAAATTACTCTTTCTATAGCCAAAGTTCTGCACTATAGCTCAAATCGGAGAAAATAGGAGATTCTGCCAGTAGCTGTCTATTACAGGTATTATGCACCCCCATATATATTTATATATTTCTAATCAGTATTTCCTTATTGGAAAAAATGTGCTGAAAATGATGAGTTATGTTTAATAGTTGTCAACATGACCAATCTATTATTTTTATGCTAATTAATGCCGCCATTTTGGAAACACTGATTTTGCCTATATCTCAGCCAATGTTGCATTCTCAACTCAACTCAACTCAATTTTATTTGTTAAGCACTTTAAAACAACCACAGCTGAACAAAGTGCTGTACATAACTAGACAAAACAACAAGATAGAAAACAATCAAAACAATGGATAAAATAAAAGCAGAATTAAAAAGTAAAATATAGTTTCAATGTTTTTAAAAACTAATTTAAAAACATACAAACAAATAACTAAAAACAAACCATAAAACACTAAAACAGGAGCCGAGTCTCATGCAGGGTTAAAAGCCAATGAATAAAAATGGGTTTTAAGACGACTTTTAAAGATGGACAGTGTGGGGGCTTGTCTAATTTGGAGGGGTAACTCGTTCCATAATTTTGGGGCCGCAATAGAAAAAGATCTATCCCCTCTGAGCTTCCGTTTGGACCTCGGTACCTCCAGGAGCAGCTGATCAGCTGACCTGAGGCACCGAGCTGCGGTGTAGGGGTGGAGAAGCTCAGAGAGGTAAGATGAAGCCAGACCATTTAAAGATTTAAAAACAAATAAAAGAATCTTAAAATGAACTCTAAAATGCACGGGTAACCAGTGGAGGGAGGCCAGGGTGGGAGTAATGTGCTTCCTCTTACGTACTCCAGTTAAGAGTTGGGCGGCTGCGTTTTGAACTAACTGGAGACGTGAGAGGAAGGACTGGCTGACTCCAAAATAAAGTGCGTTACAGTAATCCAGCTGAGATGTAACAAAGGCATGGATTACTGTTTCAAAGTGCTTACGTGAAAGAAAAGGCTTTGCCTCCGCCAGCTGCCTAATATGATAAAAACTGGATTTCACTACCGAGCTAATTTGCCAATCAAATTTAAAATCACTGTCCATCTTAAAACCCAAATTTGAGACAGTTGGCTTTAAATAATCTGCTACAATACCCAAGTCTACAGGAGGGGTTTCACAAAGGCCAATGGGACCAAAGACCATCACATCTGTTTTTTTTTCATTGAAAGTTAAGAAATTCAAAGCCATCCAGGCTTTGATGTCTTCAAGACATGCCAGAAGTGGAGTGAGGGAGAAAGCATTTTTCTTGTTGAGTGGCACATATATCTGACTGTCATCAGCATAACAATGAAATGAAATGCCATGCTTTCTTAAGATGGATCCCAGGGGCAGCAAATACAAAGAAAAGAGCAGGGGACCTAAAAACGACCCTTGTGGAACACCATACGGCAGTGGAGCAGAGCTGGACTTTGTATCTCCAAGGCTCACACTCATTGTTCTGTCTGTCAAATAAGACTTGAACCACTCTAGTGCAGTACCACGGATACCTATAAGGTAGCTTAGCCGAGCCACCAGAGTGTTGTGGTCCACTGTGTCGATTGCTGCAGTTAGATCTAACAAAACAAGAATAACATAATCACCAGAGTAATTTGCCTGGAGGATGTCATTAAAGACTCTTAATAAAGCAGACTCTGTGCTGTGGCGAGTTTTAAAACCAGACTGGAAGACCTCCAAGACACCATGCTCATCCAGAAAGGACTTTAGCTGAACATGAACAACTTTCTCTAAAATTTTTGAAATGAAGGGAAGTTTGGAGATTGGCCTAAAACTGGCCAGCACACTGCAATCAAGGCCTGTTTTTTTAAGTAGAGGCTGCACCATTGCATGTTTAAAACCTGGCGGAACAACACCAGAGGACAGACTGCTATTTATGATAGCCAGAACAGACTGACCTATGCAAAACCTCTTTAAACAGCCTGGGAGGGACAACATCACAGGGAGAACCAGCAGGCTTAATATGGCCCAACGAACCTGGCACAGTGGTATGGATCTGAGGACAACTGTAGCCTCTGCGAAACAGGCAAGGGAAATCTTCGCCACATCTTGTGCGGCTGTCCAACAGCCTTGGCCCAGGGCCGATACACATGGCGTCATGACCAGGTGCTAAGAAAGTTGGCGGAGCACACAGAGAACATGAGAGTCCTGGCCAATGAGAAGACAACATCCCAACAGAGGCAGCTGGTCCAGTTTGTAACAGCGGGACAAGCCAAGAAAAACTGCCCTAAAGCAGACAGAGCAGCGGTCCTGACTCCAGGCAAAGACTGGTCAATGAGAGCTGACCTTGACAAGCAGCTACGCTTCCCATTCGACATCACCACCACCACACTGAGACCCGACATCGTCCTGTGGTCCTCAACTGAGAAGCGAGTCCTGTTAGTCGAGTTGACAGTCCCTTGGGAGAAGAACATCCAGGAAGCGTATGAGAGGAAAATGGCCCGTTATGCAGAGTTGGTGGCAGAATGTGAAGAGAAAGGCTGGAGAGCATCAACCTATCCAGTTGAAGTTGGCTGCCGCGGCTATGCTGGCCTCTCAACAAACCGCTTCCTGAGGGACATCGGCTTCACAGCAGCAAAGGCCAGGAAGGTCTTACAGGATCTCTCAGAGGAAGCAGAAAAGGGAAGTTTCTGGCTCTGGCTGAGAAGAAAAGACAGGAGTTGGGGGAATCGAGATGCCACACAGTAAGCCTGAGTGCCGAAGTCCAGCTGCAGGGAGTGGCGGGGAGACGTCCCTGACCGCTGCCCCACCATCCTGAGATGTTCTGGTGATCAAAGGGGCGAAACATCAGTGAAGGATGGCTCCTAGCTGATGACCCTGCAGCTGGTACTTTCTGTACTGGCTGAAGTGGGCCCGATGGAAGCGGCCCATGAGGTTTCAACCTTCGCTTCCCAACCATCAGGTATGCGGTCAGGTGCAAGCCTGGCTCAGGGAGGAGGACGCCCCTGCCATGCAGAGTCTAGGGTCACTACCTGGAGAGGGGCGAGGCCAGGATGGCTCTCAGCCGCAACCCTGCAGTTGGAGTCTAGGCACCGTCGGAGGTGCGTCAGGCAGAAATGCCCTGCAGGTACCAACACCTATCTGTCACATAAATCTGCTTTCTGGGAAACCAGTGACTACTGAGAATAGATCAGTTGGAGTCCAGGGAAGACTGGAGGACTGTCAGGAAAGTCTGACTGGCAGCGGGGAAGACTGCAACTGGGGTGGGCGGGCTAGTTACCCTTCCCACAGGCCAACCTAGGCCAACTCAAGCAAACTACAAGCAAAGGAAAGAAAAGACAGCCCAGTGGTCCTCCGAGAGGTGGGATGAAAGAAGGACCAGTACGGACAGACGCAACGGCAACGAACGG